AAGCAGATTTAGAGGCTTTTTGTGATAAGGCTTCTCTCTCATTTAAAATTGCTTCTTTTTTTTAAACCAAAGATTGGCCATCTTTTCTTTTTTTTTTTGGGGGGAATGATATTTGGGTTTCATTGTATGGATTTTTAATGTAGGGTGCTTAACCAATTGCACAAATGAACAAAGAAATGCATACAATTGTATTTATAGAAAATTGGATTTTCCCCCCCAAACCATTCTTTTAGTTATGCCTTTCAAAAAACAATGATGGGCCTGGAGAAATAACACAGTTCGATGAGATTGTTTTGGAAATGCATTTCTTCTACCTTTAAAATATCTGCTGCAAAATTGTTTACAAGGACAGAAGACAAAGCAAAGCAGATTCCTGTAAATAAAGAAATACGTTTTCAGTTCACTGATGAAGTTTTAACTGGTGATCACGTGCAATAACATTGCACAACCCGTTTTCCTTCTGGGGGCAGAATTCCTGTCTAGCATCCATTTAATGGATTAATTATGGAAGATTGCTTTTATTCTGAAATTGAAAGTCTGGCTCCTATTTTGGGTGGAAATACAAAACACAGTTCTCTTTACTATTTTTTTTTTTTTGCAATGTGTGTTGTAATTTATTCAGTGTTACAAAAAAAAACCCAGACATATTGCAGAGTTATAAATATAATTATAAAAAAATTATAACAGAATAACAGAGCTGGGAGGGACCTTGGAGGTCTTTTAGTTCAACCCTCTGCTCAGGCAGACCCTGTACCATTCCAGACATGTGTCCGTCCCGCCTTAAAGCATCCAATAATGGAGAACCCACAACTTCTGGAGGCAAGCAGTTCCACTGGTTAATTGTTCTCACTGTCAGGACATTTCTCCTTTGTTCTAGGTTGCTTCTCTCCTTGATTAGTTTCCACCCATTGCTTCTGGTTCTACCCTCAGGTGCTTTGGAGAAGAGGTTGACCCCCTTTTCTTTGTGGCAGGCCCTCAAATATTGGAAGACCGCTATCATGTCACCTCTGGTCCTTCTTTTCACCAGTCTAGACATACCCAATTCCTGCCTCCAAGCCCCTAATCCTCTTCAGCAAAGGTTATCTTCAACCTTTGCTAAAGAATAAACCTTTGCTATTGAAAACAAACAGGCAGATTATTAGGAAAGGCTTGATTGAGGACAGGATATTTCAGAGCCATATTTTTCAGCTGACAATCTCTCCCCTTCCTCTCCATTTTTGCTAGAGATGCTGCATCACACCGAGCCCTTCAGACAGCTCTTCAGCAGCTGGCTGAATGCCAACCAGAAGTGACTGCGAAGAACCTTCTGTGCTCCCTGCAATCTTCAGGAATCAGCAGCAAGTCCGGGGGATCCAGGTGAGAGCTGAGCGCTGGGCAAAGGCCTCTTGGGGAACAAAACTGAAGAAGCTTCTTGGGTGAGAGGCGAAATGTTTTCAAAGAAAAAAAGCCCAAGGAAATCCAGTTGCCTCTTGGGTAAAAAAAACAAAAAAAGCACCTTTGGGACAACCTTAACTTTAACTTTTAATAGATTTATATGCCGCCCAATCCCGTAGGACTCCGGGCGGCTTACAGATAAAGTTAATATAAAGAGTTAAAAAATAAAGAACTATTTAAAAAGAAACAATTTAAAAACAAGACACCATACACGCAATCTGAGTGGGGCTGGACCTCATTCCTGAAGTCAACAGCCCCAGGCCTGCCGGAATAGCCAGGTTTTAGTGGCTTTTCGGAAGGCCGAGAGAGTGGGGAGGGTCCAGATCTCTACAGGTAGGTTGTTCCACAGGGTCGGAGTGGCTACAGAGAAGGCCCTCCTCTGAGGACCCGCCAGCTGGCATTGTCCAGTCGACTGCACCCGGAGAAGGCCCAGCCTGTGAGTTCTTATCA